CAGCTTTCAACTGACAGACTTCATTGCATCGAATACGACAAACTGACGGACGGACGGGCGGAAGCAGGCAGACTCGGCTGTTAATATCGGTAAGGTATAAGTCCGGAATCGAAGAGTTGAATAGCTTCTGAAAGAGTGTAAGGAATTTAGTTTCTCTTCTTCAGCTTTTGCATTTCGGCAATGCTTTTGTTTTTGTTATTAATATGTCATTAACACTATAAAACAAATCTTGCCCACGATATAGTTGCAACCTTTTATTTTGTGTAGATTTGCTGCACTCTACCTTTTTGGCTACAATCAGGGTATTATTGATATCTTATACGAACTAGACAAAATAAGGTGCAACAATCCGCGCCATTGTTTCATTAATTCGCCTTATGTTATTTCCATTCTACATACATACATATATGTATATCGTTTGCTCGAATCGCTATGCTCTCTTCTATTGAAGTTCGAAACTGGAATGTGGGAGAGACGGACGGCGTTGCCGAAAATGCAAAATCAGTTGGAAACCGTTTCCTAGCAGCTAACATCGTCGAAAGAGCTGCAGTTTCTTACTTCTTCTTTTGTCGCCAAAAAAGAATGTGAAAAGTGTGCAAAGTGTGTGTAGTGCAGTCTAGTGTGTGTAAAGTTGTGTTTTTAATTTCCAAAAAGTTAGTATAGTTAACCAAAATAATCGAAAAAGAAAAAAGAAAAGAAAAGTGCAAAATATAGTTCAAATGATCGCCGTTGCCGTACGCGAAGTCGCTAAGCGCATAATTTCTACATATATTCAGTTACATGTGTGTGTGTGTGTTAATTTGGGTTTCTTTTGTGTTTGGCAAAAAGAATGTGCACCGCGTATTTTATTTCCTTTTATAATGCGTCAATTTCTTTTCCATTGCCCTGTACGCTTATTTTTTCTGTTTCATACCTTGCATTATCATTAATTAATTGCCAGTTTGTACATACATACATATGTACATTCATACAAATATATTTTAATATATACATACATATGCATATACATATATACATGTACATTCCATACAGAATGCGAACTGAAAGAGAGCGAGAGCAAGCGCGAGCGCGAGTGAGAGCGAATGCATGTCAAATTCAAGTGCCGTTTTTTTTTCTTTTTTTTCCTGTGTCCTTTTTGTGCAATTCGTAAAGAATTTATTGCAGCGAACTGTCGCCGAATTACATCAATGAAAGCGCTTTCGGAGTTGTAGTGGAAATATGTAAGTGAAATATTAAAAAGAGCAAAGCAGAATTAAAAAGAGACTGTTACTAAGAGAGCCAAATAATTCAATTATGTTTTAATGGCTTTGCCTTTGCATACATATTCATTTTCATTTTAATAAATACTTTTACATATGTATATGCATGAATGTACATATGTATATATATATATATTTATGAATGCAATATGTATAATATGCATATATTTGTTCTATTTATAAATATAATATTTAAGAATTTTGCTCGTTAAGTAATAAATATATATATATGTACATATGTATATGCATTGAGTATTAAATATATATTGCCCAATGACATAGTATAAAGAGTATAATGATCTTCTTAAAGCTGTTTCAAACAATATTTTGTTAACTCCCTCTCATATAGAAAAAAACCGATATTTATATATATTTATTTTTTATATTTATTATTACTCTATGACTCCCTCTTGAGCCTGGCCAAATCTGGCATATTTATGTAAATATACCTCGTAATAAATATGAAGGCTAGCCTGTTTTTAGATGTTATTGGACTTTGCACTTGACGGTAATACTTTTACTATCTTTAGTTGTAGTTGCTCGAAGATTATGTGTAGGCGGCCGATTAGTTTGTGTTGGGAAAAGGATATAAGGGGTATAATGACTTTGTGCTAATGCATGCAACAGACAGAAGGAGGAAATTGCGACCCTATTAAGTATATATATATGTATTTCTGATCAATATGATATCAGATATAGCCATGTCGAATGCGCCTTGTCTGTGTGTATGTATAAGGGCGGCGATCTCAAAGATTATAGGAGCTAGCGATCTAAAATGTTGATAGGTATTCAAAAACACTTTCCTATATTATTGGTCTCCGGGAAGAAGAAGAACAATCGCATAAGCTGCGCAGCTTGCGGCAAGTTTGCGCGTGTTACCGTACCGACCCTACAGGGTATTGCCGATACGGTCCCACCCGCCAAACCACCAAGAACCAAAACATAAACGGTCAGACCAAGTTAACCTGACCGCATAGACGCCCCCACAAGATAGAGTACATTGTGACAGTATAAAGAATGTCAACTTCAGCACTTATATATATTTGTAAGCCATAGGCTAGCTTTAGAATTAGCCGAATAAAACACTCGATTCTTGATTTTCAAACAAAGCAAACGTACATTCTGGTGCTTTAATGTATAGAAGAAAGTTAGCTATTTGCAGCGTCCGCTCGACACGCAGGGTATCTGCCAGTGGGGAATACCCGATAAGGGCCTCTTACTGTTGAGCTAAGGAAGAAGAAAGAAGAAGATTTGCATAAGCTGCTCAGCTTATGGCAAGGCAGCTAGCTGTACAGCGTCATCGCGACACACAGGGTATCTGCCAGTCGGGCATACCCGACTAGAGCACATTTACTCGCTTCGATTTGGTATCGTGCGCATTGACAAACGTCTTTTAATTAATGCGAGATCTAATTGAAAAACAGATACGCACGCCACAGTCACTGCAATATATTCAGTCGGGTGTTGCGGCTGTGCGCGTGTGTGTGTGTGTGTGTGTGTGTGTGTGTATCAGCGGTGTTAATTGAAATTTAATCTAGGCAACACGAACGCAGCTCAAGCTCTGCGAGTTGCGAATGTGTGAGAGTGTGTGTGTGTGTGTGGGAATGAGTACGGGATGTGTGTTATCGGCCAGTGGCAGTTGGCGGCACAGATTAGAAACATTTGTGCGTCTAAATAGCTAAATAGCTGGATGTGGTACGTGTATCTCATGGATACGGATGCGCGCGCGGCACAACAAGCAGCTTTCTTTCCAAGTCTTTGCCAATCATTTTCCCAGCCTCCGCGTCGCTCGTGCAGAACGTTTTCAGTAAATACTTGTAATGCGTATCTCTTCTTCTTCTTCTTGTTGTTGTTGTTGTTGTTGTTGCCTATCTGCACTTTAATATCTATCAGACGGTTTGAGGCTTTGAGCTGCTTGTTCGGGTTAGTTGGACAGTTGGCCGTTTGCTGGTCGATTCTGTTGTCGCTGCTTTAAATCAATTGCCCAGTCGTGCTATTAATTTCTCAATGCATGTTTGTATGGATGGAAGCCTTTGCTTTCAACGTTCAACGTTTTCTGCCTTCTGTCTGGTCGCGCTTTAATTTATTTTGTCTCCTCATGCGAATGCCAGCGCCAGCTCGGCGCAGTGCGTCAGCCCAAAGGCCAACCCAAAAGCCAACTCTCAATACCAACTAAAAGCCAGAGTTACAGCCGCAGTTGCTGCAATGTGGGTTGCTTACATTTCTTTTAATTTATTTGAGTTGCGATTGATTCGCTTTTCACCGGCCACATGCGACTTCTGACTTGTATAGATACAAATGTATCTTTGTGTGTGTAAATGTATCTGCTGCTGTTCGCCTTGTTTGGCTCCTCATTAATGCTACAACAGTTGCAACAGTTGCACAATTACCAACTGCACATATGCTTCACTGCTTTACGACTGCCCAATGCCCTTAAATTTACGCCCCCTTCCGCCTTGTCCTACCCTCTATCTCTCTATCTGCTTGGCCATGCCAGTGAGTAATAGTAACCCAAATTGGTTGAAAATGTTAACTATCACATAAATTTTGTCCAACATTCGCCGTTCTTTGACTTTTACTTTGTATTACATTTTGTTTGAAAAGAAAAAGTTTGCTCTGTTCAAGATTAAGTACATAAAATCATATTCCAATTACCATTGTATCAAGTGAGACATTTCTATGATAGCTTTGTAACTTTCTTCTCATATGAGAGTATCATAAATTTCCTAGACTTAAATATAAAATTGATACACGGAGTTTGTTTCAATAACACATTATATTTTATAGTATTGGATCCAATTGTTTATGGTTTAACGTTTAATTATTTTGTTTATGCCTGTTGTTTTAGTTATGACATAATTAATTTTAAATAATACATACAATACATGTTTTTTGTCACATTTTATTTTCAATGTTTTTTGGGGCGTATACGAGTTTTAACATTTTTAAAGAGACTATCCTATACCAATGCCAGCCTCTTTGTATCATAGTACTTGCCATTTTAATTATTAAAAAAAATGTTTTTAATTATGTTGACAAACTTGCGGCAATTTAAAGAAGAGTTCGCAGCTAGTGTACCACCAGCCACTACCGCGTTCGCCTTGATTTTTTGTCACTAATAACCGTCCAGCCAGGACCTGCTGTTGCAATATCACAAAGTACATCGAACGAAGACCCGAAGCATATCCATAGTGTGTGCAATCATTGGGTACAGGTTGCTCTCCGTTGGTCTTTAATTACTTGGCACAACTGCAGACTTCGTTTTTATACCCTTGCTGAGGGTATTTTAGTTGTTGTCTCGAAATGTGTAACGCATTGGGTCGTTTAAGCATTTTAACTTTTTTCAACGAGACGGCGCCATCCCAATATATGGCATCATGTTGGTCCACCATAGAATTATAGAATTATAGTATTTGCCATTTAAATTGCTAAAAAAAAATCAATTAAATTTAAATTATTTTATTTTTCGGGAATTCATACCTTCCTACACAGCTTTTGTACCACCAGCCACCACCACTTTCGCTTTCACTTGCGCAGTTGCCAGTATCCGAAGCATCATTATCGCAATCGAATGTGCTGAATTTCTGATTGTTGTGGTAACTCAACTCATCACCTCTTGCATTGCCCACAGCCTTACCAGAGATGTTCAGTCTGTATTGATCGTCCTCGCCAGCGATAGCATATTCTTCATATCTGTAGTATTTGATGATACCATCGAATCCTTCCATATGTATGTAGAGCTCATGGGGTTGGGCGCTCGTCGCCTTCGAAGCTTCCAAAGCCGGTACGGTATGTGGCCCAATCCCTATAGAAGTTCTCTTTGCCATTGATTCGCTGTTGGATAACCGTCCAGCCAGGGCCTGCTGTCGTATTATCATAAAGTACATTAAACGGATCTTCTTGATCCGGTTTAACCATATGAATATCCGGAATATCAGCAAAGACGGTGCATTCACTGTAAACGGGCTTCTCTTCGCAGCTTCTAAGATTCTTGGTACAAATGTTGACTTCGTTTTTCATTTCGGATATTTGTTGGTCCTTTTGATCAATTAGTTTCTTTTGTTTCTCCAGCTGCTCTTCATAGTCCTGGATTTTCAAGGCATTGGGATTAAGCTTACCCATTTCCTCTTTGATCGACAAAACGTTTTTCGTTAGCACTTTAATAGTCTGTTTGTAGAATTCATTTTGAGCTCTCAGTTCTTCGATGACCAAATCATTACGTTGGCTCAGTTTTTCCTGCAGTTGCTTGATTTCTTCGTCTTTCCCTGCATCTTTGTTGTTATTGTTTTCAATTTCCTCCTTCATCTAATGTATATACTTTAATAAGGGTCTCACTGCCTTATAGGTGTACTTTCCACATTCCTCCTCTGCTATTCTAGTTGCCGTACAAGACTAATAAAAATACGATTTATTTTCTGCAGTGCACACAAACGTTGATACACAATCTGTTTTTACCTCATTTTCGTTAAACTCTGCTTCAGCTATGATCAGTATTAGGCTTATAAATAGAATATATAAAAACATTACACATTTCATTTTGATAGCACTTTGATTTTTAAATTAAAACGCGAATCTCAACTGCACTCAGCACTCACGTTAATAGACTGAAGTGCGGGAATCATTTGGTAGCTCGGGTGTCCACTATTTCGGTAACTTTTAAGCGATTATCAGTAGGTCAGGAACTCAATATAAATAAACAAGTAAGAGGTTCTAGTCGGGAGCTCCCGACTAGGGGATACCCTGAACCCTCTTATTCCAACACCAAATGCAGCTCGCACTTCGCGCTCGTTAGCTTAAGTAGTAATAAATATAAATAAATTCCCTTGGCAGGGTTCGAATTCTTGACCGACCGCATTACTTGCTGTCGACTCTTCTCCACAGCCACACCATCCAAAAAAAAAAGCATTTTCCTCAGCAGGGTTCGAACTTCTAACTGACCGCGCTAGCCACACCAATAGCCACACCAGCACAGAAAACAAGACAATCGCAATTGCAATGCTGTTGATAGAATTCAAAGCAGACGCGCATGAACGTGTGTGTGTACATGTATACAGAAATTCTTGGAATTTGCGCTTGCTGCTGCAAACACATTTTCTTTCGTGCTTCTTTATCGATCTTGATTTTTTCAGCAATAGATCTTAATTTACTATATAATATTCGTGTACTCTCAAAATGGCAATTGCATTTAAATTGTGGCTTATATTGTTGGGCAGCATATGTAAATTTGTTTATTTACTTGATTTATAGCTATGAGGTACGGGGAGGTGGTGATAGGTTCAAAATGAAAGATACTTGATATATATATACTATTCTAGAAGCAACATGTCAAGTTTGGTGACTCTAGCTCTATTTATTTACCAAAATTGCTCAAAAACCGAATTTCGATATCGATTTTTATCGATTACTTGGAAACGGGGCAAGTTATCGAATATCGGAAACAAACTCGATCTGCGCGGGCACTAGGAGGACCTACAACTAAAATTTCAAGTCTCTTATAGGTTCTGAGATCCTTGCGTTCATACATACGGACGGACGGACGGACAGACAGCCAGACGGACATGGTTAGATCGACTCGGCTGTTGATGCTGATCAAGAATATATATACTTTATGGGGTCGGAGATGCTTCCTTCTGCCTGTTACATACATTTACACAAATAATTTATACCCCTTTTGCCCATTTTAATGGGTTCAGGGTATAAACAAATAATTAATAAAATGTATCTTTAAAAAAAAAAAAAATTTGCAATCTTTTATTTATTAATTGGCGAATACAAGAAATATTCATTTAATTTAAAGAAATATAAATATTTGCATCGACTAAACAATACAGATTTTCTACCAAACCAACCTCAGTACAAAACAGACATTCGTATGTGAATACAAATTTGGGATAGGTCATGTCTGCGCTTAAAAACTAACAAAATTAATTTCTTGCCAGCAAAAACCAGAGCTGAGATTAATTTATATTTTTAAAGTTTTCGCTCTTTCGGCTTTAAGAGCGCAATATTGGTGTTTATATTGTCTTTGGTACAGCCACATCCATCTGTCCGTCTTTCTGCTTCTATGCGAACTAGTCTCTCAGTTTAAAAGTTATCCACATAAAAATGTACACCGGTTCGTCTTTCTGTTGCAGGCACTACATATGTCGGTTCCGGCCGAACCGGACTAATATATTATATAGCTGCCATAGGAACGGTAAGTCGAAAATAAAGTTGTTGTATGGACAACTTTTTTTAAGATATCATGACCAAACTTGGCAAATAGAAAAGTTCGGTCTGCAAGGGTTTTTAATGTTCGGCGTACCGAAGTTAGCCCTTCTTTCTCGTTGATCAATTGGATTCTTTTGTTTCTCCAGCTACTCTTCATAGTCCTGGATTTTAAAGCCATTGGAATTGAGTTTACTCATTTCCATTTTTATTGATTAAACATTATTCGTTAGCATTTCAATTGACTGTTTTGTAGAAAATAATTCTGAGAATTTTGTTTCTCGACGAGTAACTCATTACGTTGGTTTGGCTTTACCTGCAGTTGCTTGATTTATCTGTCTTTACGTTCAACTATATGGTTATTGCTTTCAATTTTCTCCTTCATTTGATCTATGGACTTTTATAATGGGCCCACAGCCTTATACAGAGGTGTACTTTCCGCACTGCTCCTCTGTCAATCTGGCTGCCTTAAGGACTGATAGAAGTGAGATTTCTTATCCCCACAAATACATATTAAATAAATGATCTCGCGTTTAGCGCAATTTTGTCAGTCTGTGCTTCACATATGATATACAAAATATATAGAAACGAGACACATTTCATTTTGTTTGCACTCTGATTAAGATGCAGTACAAAATTAATTATAAGCTGAAGCTTGCAACATTTTTTAACCTGATAAGCAATAATATAGGTATAGGTAAGGAACTGAATAAAAATAGCAAGGCACGGAGCTAGAGACTCTCGTACTGCCCGCGCAGATCAACTTTGCGTTGGGTTAACCAACCCGTTCCGTTTCCACGAAATATGATCCCGGTTTAGCCTAGGCTGCTGCATTAAATTGCACCGTCCTGACCTACCAGGATTTACCGCTCCTCATTCCTAACTACGTCCACAATAGATTACGTTATGCGAAATTCTTTTCGTGTACTATATAAAAATTATAATAGTTTGCATAACGTTTTGTCCACCGAAATTTTACGCCCCCTAATAAAATCAAGGCTTTCAAGATACCTTCGGGAACACGCTGACCATTTTCAGCTATTAGTAAGGGCATAGCTTGCCGGACAGACTATATATATTCCCCACCACAATTTCTTATCACTATTGATTTACCATTTCTACTTAATACTCCATATGCAAGTATACATTTATTATATTTTCTTAAATATTATAGTTTATTAAGACTATTTATAATTTTTACTTAAGAACACTATTTTCTCTTCGTACACCCTTCTTCTTAGCCGTAGGCTCTAATAGCATAACCGGCCGGACGGGCAAATAAAACATCTCCATCGTGTCGGTAATGCTATTAGAAAGTTGTGAAGTTAGGCTAGTTAGGCTTTTAGCATTTATTTTTATATTCATATGCATTATATGATTAGGCTGACACTCGTTTTGTCCACCATTAATAAATAAATAAGAAAATAAGGCATTTTAAAGGAACAAAAGTTGACATGAGTTGTAAGATTGTCATCTAATAATATTAAATTATTCACATTCACAAAGTTACAGCTTGTGGCCACATGTTAGCACACGACTAGCCCTGCGACTTTGTGGCCTTTAACGAGGTATATGTGACATTTAGTGTGGCAACCAATTTATTTCATTCATTTCAAATCATTCGAAAACTATGCTTGCCCGTGGCTGCTCCGGCAGCTTCCTTTCATTATTTATGGGATTTTGTGGACCGGCAACGTCGACGCACTCAGCGTGTGATTGTTTATGCTGACCGGAACCCCTGGCAACCCTCACAGTCCCCTCCATTCCATATGGAGCTGCAGTTGGTGCAATCATAATAATATTTTTGCAAGTGCGCCGCTTGCATCGATGGTCGCAATGGTTCGTCCAATGGTTGCCGGCAAAACTCGAGACTGGAGACTGGCTGACTGGCTGACTGGCTGCCTGGATGACTGTGCCTCTGTTGTCATCGCATTATTATTCCGCTTCGACGTTTTCTGCTCTTTTCCTTTGCTACTTTACTATTATGTGTTTCTTTGATTTCATTTTTTCCTTTTCGCTTGCCATAAATGGTTCATAAAATTTTATATGCTCGTCCATAAAGGAAACCGTTTGCTCCACTTTCCACTCGCAGCATGCGATGCACTCCGCATTGAAAATAAGTTAGGAGAGCTTCACTCTGGGACCGCCAGCGACAACTAAGTAGATATTGAGAGGTCTCTTAAGACAAATAAATGGCGAAATCAACAATTGATGTGTTTCATATGTTGAAATTGAGTTCCATTTGTTAATTCCATATTATTCTGAATGCTACAGATTTGTCAGATATGCTAGCATTATTTACTGTCAACAAAATTCGCTTGGCCTGCTTTATTATTATCTGATATGCTGTTACTGTAGTCCATCTACTTTTATCAGAGTGAGGATCGGGGGCTTTTTAGTTTAACAATATCTTAAGATAGCTTAGTTTAGATATTTATAACATTACAACATTCGGCTTAAAAAATGGATGATGAGATCTTTTAAGTGAATTTTGTCGGCTATAAAGTCTGTAAAGTTTTTCACAACTTTAGTATTATATCTCTGAGAGGATTAGCTTTAAATTAGTTAGTCCTATATCCAGCACTTTTTAACTAAGACCATAAGTCCTGCATATTATCCCTATATATAACACAGCACAGCCCAAACCGTAAGAGTTAGGAAGCTGAAATTTTCGCTGTAGTTACATGATGTAATGAAGGTGCACGTTAAGACTGGGTTTCAGGAAATTCCACCCGCGTGTGTGGAAAAATCGCTAAAAACGGTTGTATGAACCTTTTTTGTTTACCATCCGATCGGCTTCAAAATCATTTTCAAAGACCTTTGTGAGTATTTTATATTTTATTATAAAGTTAGGGCAAGGACAATGTAAATATTTAAATTTTTAAAATATATATCATGCACAAATTAAGTATTAATGCGAAATATTTAATTAATACTTATTTTACTTGTAAAAAATAATTCAGTTTATATGTTTTTCATATATTATATTATATTATTTTTTTTAACGGAAGTTTAAGGTTTAAGGGAAGTTAACGCACTTCGGCCGGTGAGATTTATTGGGTAATCTTTAAATCTTACAGCTTTCCTGCTAAACTTATGCGGTTGTATATTTTCTGTATCTGCAAAGAAAACTACGTCTTAGTCTTGCAAGGGTGTCACATTTAATTGGAATGTGATGCGATGATTCCAACGACAACTTAGGTGCCCGTTGAACGGGCTGGTCAGTTTTTCTCATTTGGGCGATCTTCTTGAACTTTTCCGTGTTGTATGCTGTTTGGCTCAACTCCGGACTGCTCTTCCAAATGGAGAGTCTCCTGGATCTTTACTTTTTCGTATTGTATGCTGCTCGGCCCAGTCCAAGCCCGGTCTGGTTTTTCAATTGGAGAGCCTACTGGATCTTTATTTTGATACCCATTGATATAATTTCTAACTAATTGACAGATCGAATCGCTCTTCCCGTGTTTCCGCATACATTTCCCTGTGGCCAATCGCCAGTTGCATTTTGTTTAGAAGCCGTCAAATGAAAGCCACTTGCAATTGCATTGTTAAACTGAAATGGTTTCGAAATCGCTTTGATGCTAACTCTGGCTAACTCTGGCGCTTTGGCTTTGGCCACATATATCCATGGCTCGTATCTTCCGCGTTGCCAAAATCAAATTGAGGGGCTTATGCAACCGGCCCAGCAAGCGGCGACAGCCGCCACCAAAAACAACGCCGGCCAAATCGCAGTTGGAATCGGTGCTTACGTGACCGGCCGAACGACTCAATCGCAGGCAGCGAACAAAAAACAAAAACCGAAACAAACCGAAAAAAAAACCTATAGAAAACTAAAAAAAAAGTGAAAAATTACCGGTGCATGGTGCAAGCCGTTGCCATGCCCACTGCCCGCTCGCCCACAGATATTCGTTTTAGTATTCGTTTCTTTTTTCTGTTTTTTCATATATTGTAGTTGTATCTTATTATCAACTCGCGCCGAGTTCGGTGGCCGTTCATGAACTACAAACGCCGCTGGCTGCGTTTTGCGCTTTGCGCTTTGCATTGCACTGCAATTGGCAGCCGCGGCCTGTCCTCGATGCGGTTGTTGGCTCTTGGGCATTGCCGTATCTGACGGATGCACAGGCGAACGCACTGCGCCGAAAACTGCAAAACCACGCGTGAGTGTGTGCAACCAGATAATCGACTTGTAGATACTCTAAATTGATTTCGCTCTCTTTGGTGCAGATTGTAAAGCACTTCAGGTGAACAAATATAATCGACTTGTAGATACTCTGAATTGATTTAGTAGTCTTGGCTGTTGATTATTAAAATCTCCATGTGAACAAATATTTTTGTCTTAAAGAGAAAAATGACTTGCTAACATATAGTTGAAGCTAAAGCTTATAACTAACATCAATTAAAATATATATATATATATATATATATATATATATGTATATATATAAAGAGTGCAATTAAGTTGTATTCTCTGCAGGCTATCTATTCTTATCTAAGTTCTAATTATAGCTTTAATTTCTATTAAAAATCAGCTTTAAACATATACGAAAAAGCTAAGACTTATTATAAAACTCATTTAAAAAAGATAATCATCATTTTAATGAGAGCACAATTAGGTTATATTCTATGCTAGCTATCTATTCTTATATAACTTCTTGATTAAACTTTATTTTCTATTAAAAACAATTTAAAATATATTCGAAATATTATTTAGTACTTGTTTAAAAAGAAAAGTGACTTGCTAACATCTTCTTAAAGGAAAGACTTGAAATAAATTTAAATATATAATCATTTTATTATCAAAGTATATTGAAGTTATATTCTATGCTAGCTATCAATACTTCTCTAACTTATAGTTTAAGCTTTATATTATATATTATTTGTACCTATTATTTGTATTATTATTGCATCATTTCAGTATTATAGTCGAGTTCAGAGTGAATTATTCACGTTAAATTTGAATAGCCTTTAGCGAAGACATCTCTGCATCGATACACTACCCTGAGACTCAAAGCCGGCCATTTAAAAAAACTCAACTCTTGAGTGCCGCAGAAATTGTATTTAAATTTATTCAATCAGGTTCTATTGCTGCATTCATTTCATTCAATTTTAATTTGTTTTCGGTTCAAACTTAATTTTAGTAGCATAGTCATTGTATATTAATTGAAAATCTATTCGATTTATATATTTTTTTGACAAGAATGTTAATTCTAATTCAATCTGCTTTATTTTTCATTCTTAAATTTTAGTTCAATTCTGTTTCAATGTAATTCAATTTAATGTTTTTTTTTTTTTCTATTTCAAGTTTATTTCAATTGAATTTGAATTGTTTAAATTTAATTTCAATTCAACTTATATGCAATTAAATGGGTTTGCGCAACATGTTTTTCCTACATGTTGAACAATGTTGTTTATATTTTGAATATAAATACCATTTTGCTCTAAATCAATTTAGATTAAATGCAAACAGAATTGTGGCAGACATTTGTTGCTTTTCCGTTGTGGGACTCTCCTGAAAAGCAGACGACCTTACACATTATATAACTCAGCAGCAGAACCATATCTTTATCATTATATTTTACGATGTCTTACTTTTTGATACCTCTTCAGAAAATTTCCATTGTAGCTAACGTTGGCAAAGACAATACAAAAAAAAAAACAAAAAAATACCAAGGCACTTTCCTATACTTGAAGTTATGATGTGATGATGATGAAGCAACCTCCGAATTTCGAGTGATAGACAAATATTTCTAAGCAGGCAGTACTTAAGCTGTGCGTAATGTAAGCGCTCTGCACACCCTCTCAGAATCCAGTCCCCAGAGCCAGATTCGTTACTTGTCGTTTGCATGGGCCACACTTCAGTTCGCCACTTGAGTCACCTCTTCGTCGCACTTCACTCAAGATATGCCATGAACGATATGCCAAGCCAGAGGAATAATAATAAGAAACAAGTACAAACTTCATTAGGGCAAAGCATGCATCGTTTGTCTAAAGATCTACACAATTTTCAACTCTAGTTCATGCATTTAAATTTGATTTTCATCTTCAGTTGTTTAGCTGAATACAAAACATAATGCTGAGTTGCTATTATAATTAGATTTTTGGTGGGAGTGTCCTAAAAAAAAAGCATATCAAAGGAAAGACCAAGAAATTCCCTAGGAATTTCCATTGTTCACCGAAAAATACTCTCATTTTGTTGGAAATATAATAACATATATTCTGTGCTTCATGATTTTTAAGTTTTATATCAATTTTATACCCTGAACCTATTGAAAATGCTTTAAAGGGATCGTCGACCCCATTAGGTATATACATTCTTGATTAGCATCAATAGCCGATCTACCCATATCTGTCTGACTGTCTGTCCGTATGTATGAACGCTTCGATCTCAGAACCTATAGGAGCTAAAGATTTGAAAATGGGAACATAGGTCCTCCTAGTTACTATAATCGATAAATTTTCCCGTTTCCAAGCAATCGATAAAAAAAAAATTAAATAAAATGAAAGCCCAATAATTTCTGGCAAAAATTGTCTTAAAAACAAATATTCTATAGCACAATAAGAGCTACTGCTGAAAAATTCATCAAGATCGGTTAAGAAACACAGAAGATATTAAAGTTATTGAATATTGACAAGCCACGTTGCAAGCGCAAGGTATGAGGCGATGACAGGTCAGGGTGTTACTTCAGGTCTAGAAGTAAAAAACAATGGTGAATGGAATTGAATGCTGTTATCATAACTATGAGAAGTTAATGAGAAGGCAATGTAGTTTCTACTCCTATCTATTGTTGATTTAAATGAGATGTCTTCCTTTATGTGGAGATATTCATAAAATTGCGAATTGCTTAGACTCGTAGGTCGATTTTTATTTGGCCCATGATGAAGTACATTCAGATATTCACTACAGTAGACGAAAACTATATACTAACACGATTTGGCGTGGTGTGGATTTGTTTGGTCTGGTTGAGCTTGGCTTACTTTTGATCTGAAAGACCGTTTTGTATTAGGAGCTGACGAATACGCTTGCAGCCCATTTCCTCGACATCGAGCAGTGCTTCCTCAACTATGTAAGAGAGTGTGTTTTCGTCCAGGGTACGCTGCTCCAAGCGCAACTCGTTCTCTAGGCAGGTTAACAGGTCGGCACGTTCAAAGGGGCGATAGTTAATGATAGTTGTGTCCATGGGCAGCTGCTGCAGGAGCTCAAATTGTTGCCAATAGTATTGCATATCCAGATTGAAGATGTATACCACGAGCACAGTTTGGTTGGCTGCCACAGTGGGATCACCCTCGCGCTCATGCAGCAGCCTGTTATAGATGGGTACAAAGCTGTGATCGCAGGGCGACATATTGTCAATGATCAGCAAATTCTGGCCGCAGTCGGATAGCTGCTCGACAAAGTTACGCATCATGTTAAACTTGTGAGCGCCATCCGGCACATAGGTGCTCCACGAGTAGGTGTGCACATTCTCCGGCCAGGGGAACTGTTGCCTTAATGCCATTGCCGTAAGCGTTTTTCCCACGCCGGGCGGACCCAGCAGCGCCACGGATTTCAATGGCCTTTCGCTTTTAACGGAGCGTTCCAGGCGCGCCAGTGCCTGCTCCTGGTTGAGCACCTGCTTGCCAATTTGGCGAAACATTCGCATGGTGTCCAGACGCTGGTTGCAGTGATAAGTGTGCAGTGATCCATCTACCGGAAATTCGTCTTGGGCGCCCGCACAGTGGCTGCCCAGGCCCAGGAGGCCCGACACGCCGAGCCACAGGGCCTCTAGTGTGCCGGATAAGCCTGAAGCCTGGCCTAGCTCATCGGCTGGCGACGACTCCATGCTATGGAACCACAGCACCACCAGCACTGTGGCCATGCCCGTGACTATCATCAGGCCCTGTACCATGTTCGTTTGTTCGGTGCTCCGCAGCTGTTGCCGATACGAATGACAGCTGGTGTTCCGCAAGATGCCCCGCTTTCGTGGATCCTCAAAGTCGCCAGAGAGTCCAGATTCCTGGGGCTGTATGAACGAATGGCGGGAGTGCATCCTGCTCGCGGCTCTTTGCATTACAATATCCTAATTGTTAAATTAATACACGAAATTTAATTTTAACTGATGGAGGCGCACCAAGAGAATTGAATAAAATTTTTAGATTGAGGTTAAAAAAATATAACAAAACATAAAAATTGTCAGCTCTGACAGACGTTTCCACTCATTAGGCTAAACATTGATGTAATTTAAAAAGGAAATGCTTCAGTCGACAAACAAGACTCGAATTCAGTGCGAGGAAAGCTATAAATATATATATATATTTCTATATAAAACATTATATAATTATATTAAACATCCATTTTTCATCTAGGCTGAAAAACTTTACATATACCTTATATAAGGCGATAACTCGCCTGACTTGACAAAATTCCCAAAAATGAAAATCTTACAAAATATATTATATTTATACTAAGAATATTTGTAGCTATTTAAATTAACAACAACTATATTTAGTTTTGAATTTTGGACATTGAAAATGGGTTAAAAGATACAATGTATTTGTCCAAATGTATGTTATAAGCAGAAAGTAGAAGCATCTCGCACCCTATAAAGCATATACATATATTCATGATCAGCTTCAAAAGTCGAGCCGATCTAGCGATAATTGATAGCTTGCCCAGCTTCCAAGAAATCACTAAATAACGATATCGAAATCCTGTTTTTAGGCAAATCTCTTATGTTTCTAGAGCTAGGTCACCAAATTTGACAGGTAGCTTCAATGTAGTATATATATGAAGTATCTTTAATTTTATAGTTCTCGCATAGACGAGGGTTCAGAGTATCCCCTAGTCGGAAATTCCCGCCTAGAGCCTCTTACTTGCTTAAAATGCAGTTGTGTATTTTCCGAAAAGTGTGAAACTGATTTAAAAGAAATTTAAAAATGAGCTACGCTGATTGAATATTAAAAAATGTTTGATACAACCGTTTTCCATCAATTCTCCACAGTTGTAGGTGAGATATTTAAGGTAACTACAGTAGGAATTATAGTTTGCTAGGGCCTACGGCTTGGGTTGTGCGAGTAAATGAGTCATATTTAGATAGAATCCATTGCATTTCAGTGTTTATTCTAATTAGTTGATTTGTCGATCAAGTTTCATAGAGTCAGAGCGGAAAAGGTCTGCTTGATGGTCGTTCTGTTTGCGAATAATTATACGCTTTGTTTAAGAAACGCCACATGAATCCAAATAGAGTACGGATGCGGTTTCTTTGCTGGCATTAAAAGCGCTTACTCATCATTATCAGGCAGCAGTCATCAGGCAACAGCCAGCAAACAGCCATCAGCTGATTTGAGGCAGCGGCAGAGGCAGAGGCAGAGGCCGCGGCAGAGAGACAGACATTACCATTAGGCCGACAATTAAGTTTAGAGCAGCGCGGAAAGTCGTCAGCCAGCAACTGGGCCATTCTTTGAAAGCAGCTGAAAGATCTGGCGATCGTGATTGCCAAACAACACAAAAAACACAAACAACAACCAGCCTAGCCAAAGAGACGACTGGTCTGGCCAGACTCAAAAGCCCAGTTCAGGCCAGGCGAAACGAGGCGAGACGGGACAGAAAAATGAGCCATTTGGGTGCTTGGCAACAAACAACAGCTCAAAGACAACAAAACACTTCAATTCGTAGTCGTGTAATAGACAAAATTGAGGAAACCTTCAACTAAAAAACAGCTCAAGCCGCACTGCAGTTACTCTACCTTATACTACTGCAAACACCCACGAAATTTAAAGTATATTTCTATAAGATTCAAAATTAACTAAAAGTGCACGACTAAAGCTTACCCTGTATTTGGCTTCGAACATTCGAACTCTTTTCTTTCTTCCATCAGCGTAATATAAGGAGGTCTTTAATAACTTCCCTTTTTCTGGTCCGATCTTAGTATATTTTAAAGCCATTTAAATGTCGCATCAGGTATACCAAAAAACCCAAGGCCTTACCCAAATTGGGGAGAAGGCAGTAATTAAAATGTATAATATTAGAGCCTAATACATACAATGCATGAAATTTAATGATTTTCGCAGTCGAAAAGCATACGAAAATACTTGTGAGATATGCTTTTAGCTACTTGGAGAAAGGGTATCCAGACAAAAGATTTGGTGAATGTGCTGACAATTACAGATAGATGGATAGATAGAAAGATAGGTAGATATACAGAAAGAGACAGACTGGCAGACAGATGGCGATGGAGAGACAGATTGAGAGACAGACACTTGTTTGAGCGCAGAGCCGTAACGGTTTCTCGAAAATCAAGTTGGGCGACTTGCAAAAGTGTCTTTCATAAATCAGTCAACGCTCTGGCTACCAGCGTCAGCTGTCAGCCGGAGATCATTTTGGTTGTTGCCTGGGTTCGGTTCAGCGGTAATTATGTCTCTACTCGCTGGAGTACTCATATGTGTGTCATTATGATCCAAGAGCAGACAACAACAACAACAACAACAATAACGACAGCAACAACTGCTACAGACTTGGCAGACTTGGCGGCTCTTTGGGGTAAAAGTTTGTTGGCCCTCAAGTGCGGCCTGGCTAAGACATTTGGCTGACTTTTCGTTTTGGCCATATTTGATTTGATAGCGCTGCTGCGACTGCTGCTGCTGCTGCTGCTGTTGGTTGTTGCCAACCGTTTTGGAACGGGCCAACTGCGACGGCTGCCTCTGCTGAGTCAGCGCATTTAATTGTTGCCAAAAGCGGAAAAGTTTTGCAAGTGAAAAGTAGGCAATGAAAAAGTCATTTGGAAAATTGACAATCAGCAAACGAAATTTACAAATCAGTCGGTAGCGGAACGCGCTGCACTTTAACTTTAATTATTGGGGCTAACTGCATGAAGACTGTGTATATATCGTTTTTCGAATTCGTGCAAAAATAAGCTGAAAGAAAATAAAATAATATTATTTACAGTCAGGTTTGGTTAGGAACGAAACTCCGATATTTTCTATTTAAAAAAAACTTAATATTAATAATAATAACTATTATTATATGTATTAAAAAAAGCTTGACAATAAATGTTTATAGCAGGTGGCAATAATTTTTTTATTTAATTTTTTTTTAAGTTTTATGCATGCAACTAGTTCATGGCAGAAAAATAAAATATAAACAAGTATGAGCGCTCTAGCTGCGAGTGCTCGACTTGGAGATACCCTAAGTGCAGCGTCGAGTTGTGTATACACAAAACCACAAGGCCTTCAAATTATTTCTTGTTTACTTAACGGGGGAATGAGGAGAAAGTGAAATATTTGTCAACTGTATAAACTATGCAGCAACTTTTTCAATCCTTAAATTTCTATATATCGAAATCGATATATGTTGATATTATTGAATTGTGTTCTTGTTTTGGGTATGGAACATATTTATTTTAATATTCAAGCCACAAGCTTTTGTAGTTTCCGCGATTCGACTTAGCCTTTTCGGATGTGCTTCCATCTGACTGTTAAATATATTTGCACAAAAACAAAATACCCTTTCTATCCATTTGAAATGGGTTCAGGGTATAAAAAAAACGGAGCTAAAGAGTTTTGCGAATTGCAATTTATTGACGCTGCCAGAGCGTCGAGAACACGAACGTGTTCGCGCCAGTTGTCGAGTGAGTACGTGTATCTGCAAGATACAGATACATGCAAGCACTCTGCTCATTAGTTCGGACGGCAACGGCAACGGCAACGACAACGACAACGGCTTCGTCTGCCGCTGTTGTTGTTGTTTTTGTTGTTGCTGTTGTGACTGCTATTGCTGCTGTCAGTTGCAACTTCAATTGAAACGCATTTAATTAGTTTGTGCCTAATTTATGCTGCCATCAACATCGACATCGATATCATCGACAACAACATCAGCGTTCAACTTGGAAGCTGTCGGAGAGGCGCGTAACGTGCGCAACATTTTATAAACCAGAGAGAAGAGTATTTCATTTCTGAAGCTAAATATGTGTAGTATATGTTGCATAAACTATAGGAAATATAATCCATCGTTATATAAATTATCTTTTAATTAAACAAAGCTCGTAATAAGCTCGTAATCCTAACAATCATATTTGCTGGTTACGTTCACGAATGAAACAACTCTATGAACCCATAATTTAGTATTCAATTGAATTCATCATATTAGTTTGTATTTTTATTTAAATCGAGCTTTGTTTGGAGAAAATGTGCAATTGATATTTTTTAACCAACACTTAATTTCGCTGAACCGAACAAATTTTGAAGCTTTCAGCTCCACATCAGAATTGCATTTGTATATAATTATTGTAAATGTTATCAGAATAATCCGCAAGTGTAATGAATCTTCGGCTATTCGCACACAGCTGTTCTTTTCTATTATCTTTTTTATGGTAGACATTAGAGCTAATCAACGAGCGACGGTGACAGTTACGGGTCTGCCATTTGGCAGGGGTACGAAATGCTTTAAGACGAGTGCATTGGTATGTGCTCAAGAGGTCCGGCTTGTAGGTCAGTTCTCTATGGAGGCATTTGCCTTCTGGCCGGGTCTGGGACCCATCATAAGTAGCGGGGCCCTCGCCAAAGACGCCTCAATTAATTTAATTAACGAACGTGCTTCGAACGCCTTCCAATTGACGTTGTGTCATTTGTTAAATTGTTTAAAGAATAGAATGGAACCAGAACTAGTCAGAGAGAGATAGAGAGAGAGAGTGGCGGGAGGGTGGGGGAGGGGGGAAGGGAGAAAAGAGCGAACGAGATGTGGGCGGCATGTCTTTTACTTTATTTATTTTGATGGCATTGTGGGGCTTCGTAGTAAAATCTACTGAATGCGTTTCTATGATTAACTTTCATTTGATGAAATATTTTCATTTCGGCTTTCGTTATACCGCCTCATCCCCCCTCCCCATTTTGTCATCATGTAGGGCTTCGCAGTTACCCCTCGTCCGTCTTCTTCTTGGACAATGTTGTTGCTACGCGAGCTGAGGTCATGAGGCTTGAAATTTTTCCACTTTCCGTTGGCCATTCGTTGCGTCAAGCGAGCTATATTAAATGTTATATATCTTATGCCAGAGAGACTCTTGATAGTTGTAATAAGCTGCGGGTCAGTTAAGCTTATAACTTTTATCCCAGCTTATCCCTATACTTGATAACTTGAGAAGGCTCTAGTATTATATTATTTTTTTTTTAATTTTTCTTTTCTTGTTACTATGAATGCGTTTTTGATTCAAGAGCG